TGAATTACATATGCTTCTCGTAGGACTTTCATGATCTGTAACCTCCCAAAATCGGATCAACAGTTTCAGGTTGATAATCGAGCATTTTCGTGATTTCTGAAAATATCATGTTTTAAGTACTTTCAAATATGGTATTGTCAAATATTTGCAAGTATTATTTAGAAATATTAAATATGTTTTCAAAGGATAATTAAATTGATTTCCAGGTTTGTGTGGTGACTAAATAGTGTTATATTAAAACTAAGAAATTTGGGTGACTAAATCGAATGATTTCAAAATCTTAAAAATCTATAAAGCAATTTCACCAAGGCTTTGCTTGTTTTCTTTTTCCTCTCATTCCAACGTATTTTCTTTCATTCTTATCTATGATTTTTATTATTTATTTTATTAATCAAAAATTAGTTTTAACTTTCATATTCCATCATTCACGTTTTTGTGCAAACCAAAATAATCTCTTTTTCCCTTCACTTTTCTTCTCATGGCTAAGAACTTTCTTTTTCAAGTGCCCATCTCCTTTGCTGATTTTTTATTCACTTCTGATCATCTTTTTCTAAATTTTATCATCTCTTCATCTTCTTAAATCCTCCTTTTTAGTCAATTCTTCCTAGAGGTTTCCTAGACTTCTTCAACTTCATATTTCTTATTTTACATCTTATCTCCTTCCATTTTTATAAGGTAATATTATTTCCTTGGTTTTCTTTAAGCTTTGCTGATTAAAAGATTTTTTTATATCAATGGGTAATACATGATTACATAAGTGTTTTGGTAATACTTTATTTTTGGGTTGATTTTCAAAATAAATAAAATGGATATAATTTTGATCTTATTTCTATTAGTTTTTTATGGGTTTCGTATGTTTAAATATTGGTTATAATGATATTAAAACAATATTTCAAATGGATTTGATTGCATCATGATTTGATTAAGGAATATCTATTTTAGTGATTTTTTGAAAATCCATGAATGTTTGTGTTTGTGTTAGCTGCTGTTTTTGGGAGATTTATTGGGTTCTAAATCATGTTTATGATTTTTTTAGGATCAAATTAAGTGTAAGGAAGAAAATATTCTCAAGTTAGAATGTTTAGATCGCGGGGATAGTAGGATTTTTGGTTCTTTGTTTGATTTTGGTTCTATTTTAGAAGTAGAATTTTCGCTCTATTTTGAAGATTTGTGATTAAGTTGACTTGTTATGCAAATTTTGACTTTTGATACTAAATTCTTGTATGATATGTTAAATGATGTTATGAAGATTGTTACATATGTATTATGACATGTTCTAAGTGATTCAAGTGTGTCCAAGCATGTCAATGGATCATAGAATCGATTGTATAGATGTTTGGTGGCTTATTCTTATATATTCATATGAATTTTCTGCATTTTATAGAAAAATGATCGATCCTTTTTGAAAAATGATCAATCCCTTTTGAATGTTTAGCTATTGTTTTGTAAAGGATCGATCCCTGTGAAAATGGATTGATCCCTTTGTCATTTACTCAATAAAACAGGTAAAATTGAATTTATTAAAGGACTAAACTGTTCCCTAAGTCCTTGTATTGTCCCTAAGCTTTAAAATGTATTCAACTTGGTCCAGAAATTGATTTCTTAATTAAAGATTGGTTTTAAGTCAGATTGGTTGAAATATTTTATATGATTATATAAATCAATAATTTCATAATGTAAGCTTCAATTTCATGTTTTTGTGTTATTTTCATATTTTAAAAAGTTTACATTTTAGTCCCTAAACAGAGCATGTTCAATTAGGTCTCTAAACGATGTCTAATTAAGTTGAAATTTTGCACGTGACTAATTAAAGGTTATAAATGCATATTGTTAAGTTTAATTCTACTTTTTCCATGAATTTTATAATGACTTGTGGAATGACTTTTTTACCCTTACATAGTTAATAACATATATCATGAGATGCATGATTGTATGATTGTTATAAGCATGACTATGTTATATGTTATTGTTTTGTATTTCATGATGATTTTTTTTATTTCTTCTACTTAGTTTCCATGATTAGGTTTTGTGTTTCCGATTTGCTTTAGAATTTAATGTACACTCAGTACGCTTGGGTCATTATATGTGGTCGGGTGTAGGGTGTTATAGTGGTGTTACCATGAACGCAGATAAGTTACTTATAAGTACGTTAAAGATTTATAGTTTTAATCTTCGTATTCGTTTCCTTAAGTTAATTTCGAGGACGAAATTATTTTTAGTGAGAGAGAGTTGTAACACCCCAAAATTCGGGTCAGTAATCGAGCATTGTCGTGTTTTCTAAAAATATCTTGTTTTAAGTAATTTCAAATATGATATTGTCAAATATTTGCAAGTGTTATTTCGAAATATTAAATATGTTTTCAAAGGATAATTAAATTGATTTCCATGTATATGTGGTGCATAAATTGTGTTATATTAAAAATAAGAAATTTGGGTGACTAAATCGAATGATTTCAAAATCTTAAAAATCTATATAGCAATTTCACCAAGGCTTTGCTTGTTTTCTTTTTCCTCTCATCCAACGTGTTTTCCTTCATTCTTATCAATGATTTTTATTATTTATTTTATTAATCCAAATTAGTTTTAACTTTCATATTCCATCATTCACGTTTTTGTGCAAACCAAAATAATCTCTATTTCCCTTCATTTTTCTTCTCGTGGCTAAGAACTTTCTTTTTCAAGTGCCCGTATCCTTTGCTTATTTTTTATTCACTTCTGATCATCTTTTTCTAAATTTTATCATCTCTCTATCTTCTTAAATCCTCCTTTTTAGTCAATTCTTCCTAGAGGTTTCCTAGACTTCTTCTTCAACTTCATGTTTCTTATTTTTCATCTTATCTCCTTCCATTTTTATGTATGTGATCATTATGGGTATATGTATATCATGACATGCGGATTATGGGTTGGTAGTAGGTGAACTTTGTTAGTATATGTGTGAAACATGGCCTGAATGAATGATATGATGATTGATATTGAGATATAAAGCATGTGTTATATGTGGATATACTAGTTACTATTTGATGCATATTAAATTTTGGAAATAAATATGAAAACTATGGGAAATATGTTTATGTGTTGTGACGAGTAGAGATTTTCTAATTTCCATAGATTTGCAAGGATATCTTGCTATCTAATTTGAGGTTGATCATGATAACTAACTTATGGTTTTGAATTATATTGAAAGATATATGTATATATAGCTATGCATCAATAGCAATTATATTGGATGAACTTGGATTAGTTGACAATTGTTCTTAATGGGACCTTTGGATATGAAAGGCATGCCTAGGAAAGAGTACTCTAGTGTTTTTGTTATGTGTTATTGGGAATATATGTATGGGGTAAGGTTGGTGTGTTTAGCCTAGCTCCGAGAAGTATATGTGGTAAGGATGGTGCGTTGAGCCTATATCTAAATGTTGTGGTTTTAGACTTAAGTGAGTCCACAAATAAAAGGGAGTTGCATGGAGTCCGTTTATCCAATGTTCATGTTGTGTTTTGAACAAATGTCAATGGTCTTGAATGGAAATAAATGTATGTTGTGTGTGGACAATCCAAACAATGTAATTGTGCATGAGCATATATATTTGCAGCAATGAATACACTATAATTAAGCATGTTTATATCCTATAATTGGTGTGGGATTACGGTGTATTAAATGAGAATTGAAGCATGACATTGTAATATGATCATTAACGTAAAAACAAGTGAGGTTTCATGACATATAGGTTATTTTCCTTTAACCTTGACATGTGCAGCATACTTGAATTTTTAGTCATTCAATGAGCTTTATAGCCCACACTTGATGTTTAACCTTTTTTTCAGATTATTACTTGATGATTTGATAACTTGAGTGGCAATGCACTTGGTGGTGATCAAAGCAATGAGGCATTTGTAAAGTTATTTTGGAACTTTGATACATTTTGAGGCAATATGGGATCCTAAATTGGAATGTATGATGATTTACACTTTTATCTCTTTATTAATGCATACTTGACCTTTAGGGGGTGATTGGATCATGGAATTTAAGATTCCTAGTGGGAATTTTTTTCCCAAATTCAAATTCACATGATTGGATGAGAAATATTCCCAATAGGGAGTAATAATATATTCTAAACAGTAAAAAATTTTCTCTTTTTACCGGGAATGTTAATCCCTTGCTTTTCTTAGGTATTCTTTTATTCTCGTGTGCTAAGGGCTAAAATACCCTCTTTTCCCGTTTGCCTCTGCCATATCTTCTTCTCCCAAGTGTTCTTTGTTCTTGAACTCCACGACACAGATTGGAGGAGTATCTGATTCTCGATCAAAAATTTACCCTTTGCTCTTCTTACTCACTTCATCTGCTTTTAGGTTACTCCTTTTCCTTCAACCTTTGCTTATCTTTATTCCTTTTTGGTTTGGGTGTTTGTGCTTTTTTGGATTCCTGTTGAATCCATGTTTTTTTAATTTGATTTTTGGGCTTTAAATAACAGTTAATAGAATTGAAATTTCCTAGTTTTAGTATTGAAATTCCCAGCTCTTGAATTGAAATCTGCATCAGTGGGTAGGGTAGTGTAGTTGTTAGCTGCTTTCGTCATACAAGGTTTGCTCATAGAATGATTTTCCTGGTAATAGCAGTTGAAGTCCACCGCTTATAGTGTTTGTGTTTGAATTTCGGAAAATCTAGGTAGTTTTGGCTGCACTTGTTGACTGATGATTTTTCTTACTGGTAAACAATTAGTTCTATTCACTCTTCTTTTTATCGGAAAAAATAGACAATTTTATCAGATCTCAACTCATTTTAGTTTCTGATTTTCATTCAATTCTATCTGTGTCATATACTATATGTAATTGCAAACTCGTTGGGTGTCAATCCCATTTTCATATCAGTTTTGATTTTCTTCAGAGTTGTTGAATTTATTTATTTTTATTGTGAACAAAAGAATTGGATCATTGCAGAATTATTGGGCTTCTTTTCATTTTTCATTATAAATCTTCCATTTCGTTGTTGCAGAATTATTAACATTTGGGTTCATAGCACAGAGCAGAGTAGATTGACACAGAGGTAGCAATTAGCTGGTAACGAAGGGTTTCCATCAGTCAGCTTTGCCTTTGTAGGATAATCAGAACAAACAATAAAGTAATAACAAATGCAATCTTAATTAACGGTTGTGCTATTTATTGTAATGGGGAAATTTATATTTGCTTGTTTGCTTCCATAAATCCAGTGTTGTAGGGTTTCCATTGATTGATTGCTTTCTGCTGGTCTCTTTTGGGAGGGGGGGGGTGCTTCTATGGATTTTGCGGCACCGGATATTCCATCTGCCGAACGACAACCAGGTTTGTGAATTTTATATGGTATACAAATTTTACTGTGTTTTAATATGCAAGCTAAATTATTGTTTCGCAAATGTACTGGTATGTTTCCGCACGACGGTGGCTTATTGTTTATCATTATTGTCTTCTCTGTCTCACATTTTATGTGACTGCAGATGATCCTTTGTATCGTGAACTATGGCATGCCTGTGCTGGACCTCTTGTCACGCTTCCTCGCGTAGGGGAGCGTGTTTATTATTTCCCACAAGGTCACATGGAACAAGTATGTCTACATGAACTTTAATCTGATAACTTTTTTGTATTGATCATATTTCATAATTTAACAAGTGTTGGTTGAATTGGTTTGTGAACCTTTGCCATAGTGTTCTTATTTTGAGTAATAATGGTTCTATATTGGTTAATACGGTTATGGTTCCTGCAAGCACATGGTTCTTTCCTTTTTGGTTTTTTATGCAGAAGAAATCATCTGGTATTTATATTGGGTCATGCTTTCTTTAAAACAAAATGGGTACGATTCATTTTGGTGAATCACTTTAGGCAATCAATAATTTGAAGGTTGTATGTTGTCATGAAACCTTATTAACTTATATTGTCATATATATTTGAGTATTGGTATCAATTCACTGATACAATGAATTACAAAATGTTTATGGCAATATATAATTTCCTTCATGTATGTATTTACAAGAATATTTATATACGTCTCCATGTCTGAATATTTACTGTCAAGGTAGTGTTTGTTAAATATTTCGAAGATTATTTAAAAGGCATTTGTTATTTAGTTTTGCTAATAAAACTCTATACTCTATAGTATCTATTGAAGACTTATGTCCCTTATGATATTAAGTTTTAGGTGTAGGTTTTATAACTTGACACAATGTTTGGTTTATTAATCTCGAGTATTTTTTTATTCTTTGTGTACAGCTTGGGGCATCAATGCATCAGGGGTCACAACACCAAATACCTTCATTCAATCTACCATCTAAAATACTTTGCAAAGTGGCTTCTGTTCAGCGTAAGGTAAGTTATTAATACTTCTTGGTTTTATATTATTTTGAGTTTTATTGATTCAACTCCTTGCGCTAAGTGACTTTTACCTTGAACTGCAGGTAAGTTATTAATACCTCGATCGTAAGGTAAGTTATTAGTACTGTTTGGTCGAACTCATTTCTTAATTTGTTTGTACTTGAGAAACAATGCTAACAAACAATTCTTATGGCATTTGTCCTATATTTAATGATTGATTCTTCTATGTTTTCTCTGACTTCCATAACCATTTATTAGAATAACTGCTGTACTTTTCAGAAAGGAATAAGGTAATACGCAACACCATAATTAAACAAGAACACATATGGTAGTCTTTCCTTTTTTCCTTTCACCAAGCATGCCCGAAATATGATTTGAGGTTTAAAAGAATCTTGCAACTTGCAACTTTTCAGACTCTACATCTCCTATATGGATCTGAAACAGCAGTCATTCCAGTTTCCATTGTGTTCCTACTGTGATATTTTGCTGGACCGCATTGATGCTTACGTGCCATTCAAATTGACCAAGATGTAGGAATTAAATTGAACACATGATGAAATTTAGAGGTTAAAATATGAAGCTTGAAAAGTTCTTACTAGTAACATAATTTTACCAAATGAATACGTTCGTGAACATATAAACGAACATTAAATGAATATATTAGTAAGAACTATACGAACGAACACTAACACCTTAAAAAAAATAAGTGAACATAAATACCTTCAAAAATAAATAAACGATCACAAATACAACACTAAAAATTAAATGAATACAAATTAAACATAAATACTTATAAAAATAAATAAACAAATACAAATAAAATCCTATTCATTCAAACTTAATTTATTTACCCTAATAATTATGTATCAAAATTTTTATACATCATCTTCGTTTTTACTATTTACGCTTAAAAATCTAGATTTTTACTCCAAAACTAATCCTCAACAGTTTCAGTTCAAAAATCTGGTTTTCGCTACAGCTTCTATTGTTAAATAGGACATCATTTTTACCCTACAAATAGTCCAAATAATTCGGAAATAAGTCAAAATTTCAGACATGCTTTCAATAATTCGGACATAGCCGAATTAGCAATCTCATGACCGATATCTTAGAATAATTCGGACGTGGCCTAATTACCAGCCACTTAAAATTGTTTTAGAATTCTCTTTGGATACAAGTAAGCCTTTCACTTGTCCTTTGTATATGATCTGAAAGAAATTATCTGTCTAATATGTTCAAAGTTTGGCCTCTGTCGGTTTTTGTATGTTCGGAGAGAAATTACCTGTTGGGAAACATGAATTATTAGGTTGCTTGCTTTTCGTAATCAAGAGTTAAGTACAAATCAGATTAGAACTGAGTATTAATAATTTTATTAAAATATTAGCAAAGATAACGATGAACGACGGTGAAATATAAAATTATAGACAATATGCTCTTTAGTGTAATATTTTCTTACTTATTTGAATTATGTTTTTGTAATATAAATTCATGAGATAAATAATAATGATAAAGTATGCAAAATTAAATATAAATATAAAAGATAAATAAATAAATAAATTATTGTATATAGAAGATATAATAAATATTATATCTTAGATAACAAAAATAGTTTACATCTTTTTATTATTATGATTTACATCTTTTTATTATTATGAATATCTATTAAGAATTTTCACAATGTAAACATTTAGTTAAATGTTGATGTAAAATTTTAATAGACTTTTACATAAATTATGTAAAATTTAATATTAATTAAAATTAAAATAATACATGATATATTTAAATACTCAAGTAATATACTATCAACAAATAGAATTTTCATATAAATAATTTTTATTTAAATATTTAAAATTTCACTAGTTAAAAAATATAGAACAAGGACAATTTGGTGAAATATACATTCCAATAATCTTTTATTCCTTCAACCAAGCACTGTAATCCTATATTCCTGCCAAACCAACCAAACACAATAATGTAACATCCTAGTAATCCTATTCTCTGGTAATCTTTTATTCCCACTGGTAATCTTACATTCCGTGAACCAAACGCACCCTTAACGACTTATGAAGAACTTTAATTCTTGAGTAATTAGTGAAATGATGATTGTTGATGTCGAAATACATGTTATGTAATATGGTAAAGTATGTTGTAAGTGACCAAATAATGTTATATGCCTTAAATAAGTTCTTCAACCATTTAGACAAGTGACATTAAGTGAACATAAGATGTTAGGCCCTTAGGATGCATGAAATGACCAATGATGCAAAAAATGGTTAGAAGGTTTGTGATTAAGTTGACTTGTTATTAAAATTTTGACTTTTGATGCTAAATTCTTGTATGATATGTTAAATGATGTTATGAAGAATGCTACATATGTATTATCACATGTTCTAAGTGGACCAAGTGTGTCCAAGCATTTTCATTGTGATACAAGTACGTTTTCAACTATAAAGGGAGTACTCTTGAACATCTTTTTAATGCATTTACTTTATAATAGCCTTATAATATATCATGCTAAGGATATTAGTTATGAAGTTAAAGAATAACTTAGTATGAATACATCTTACACATTGTTATTTTAATATGTTAAGCATGTTAGGATAGCTATATAATTATATTATGCATGATTATAACATATACATCAAGGCAGCATACTTATAATGCATTTTATTAGTTCATTTGCATTCATATTAGCTCTTAGGCTTTATACCTTACCTTACACATATTAGGAGATGATATAATTAGCTCATGACATTCAAACTTAGCTCACATTACCATAATCAAACATGGCAGCAAGGTAATTAGCTCATATTAGCTCAATACCATGGAATTACCTTGTTTCCTTTCACATGTAGGTACATTGGAGCATAATGAATGTTGAGGTAGCTTGGTGAATGATTTGGACATCATATGCATCTCACAAACAACTTACAAAGTACAAGGCAGCTCATGGAACACTAAAGGAAGCTCGATTCAGCTGAAGGAGCTTAAGGCTAGCTAAACTTAGCTAGTTGGACTATTTGGAGCTGAGTTGCCAAAAGTGATGTCAAAAGTAGCTGAATGTAGCTGAATATGCTGTTATGGAGCTTATAAGGACTTAGCTAGGAAGCTTGTTCATAAACAGCCCATGATTGCTAGCTAGCTCCACAACTCAAGCTAGCTTGGAGGAGACACATGCACGCCCAAGAGAGAGCACATGACCAGCCATCATTCCATGCACAAGGATGCACCACAAGCATCCTAGAGAAGCCATGTGCACGCCTTGTGACCAGCCCACCATGTGCTAGGCGTGTGACTTCATTTAAGTGCCAAGATGAAGAGTCCTCTCATTATTCGGCCAAGAACTCCTTTCTCTCCAATTTGGCACCAACTTGAGGGGACACCAGAGCTATTCGGCCAAGTGTTATTTCCCTCCATCTAAGGCCGAAACATTATGTCATTTAGCATTAAAATTATGTCATTTTATAGAGACACAAGGGCTGGCCGAATCCTTTTGTAACCATTCGGCCATGTCTCCCCATTTCCTATAAATAGGAAAGCAATCATCATTTGTAAGCAGACCGACCATTTTTATTAATCAAAGTGAGATTATTCTCTTCCTTAAGTCCTGGTGACTTTTTATCGACTTATCAAGTATAATTTATACTTGTGGTGTCAACCCTCTTCTTTCATCTTGATACTTCTGGTTCCTAGTTCATATAACTAGTGGGTCAAAGTACTTATCACCACCCCTTGAAGAAACAATATAAAGATTGGGTCTTTGCTCTCTATAGCATTGGTTCTTCTTTGAGCGTTCTTCAAGATACTATCCTCACAACCATCCTTTTGTTTCATCGCCATAACCATTTCAATCATCTTCAGCTTCCATCTCTCATTTTAAATAGCCCACCTATTCACCATACGTCCACCACCCTTAACCCTCTCTTTTTGAGCCATTCACTTGTGCAGGTTGTTTGCTTCCTTCCTAGATCCACAATCAAACGAGAAGGTAGAATTACCTTACATCAAGCTGTAATCAGAGCTTTGGTGGAATAAGCAATGTGCAACAAGAACAAAAATACAAAAAGAAGTGTAAAGTGAAGTGCAAAGTCAAAGAAAGCAAGAAAAAATGAAGAAATTGAAAGCACTCAAAAAAAAAAAAAAGTTGGAAGCACTCATCAACAATTCTCATCACCAAGCCATTCAAGTAAGCCTTTAAATTTGATTATGGTGATAGAAGGTTGTAAAGTGACTTGTG